CCTGGCCTCCTCTTTTCCCTTTTTATCTATTAAATGGTCTTCCAGGTCACTAATTCGTTCTTCTGCCTCACTTATCCTAGCTGTTAGATTATCTAGATTAGAGGATCTCATTGATAGCATTTTTAAATTCTGCCAATTCAGCTTTCATTTCTGCCCTTAGAGACTCTATGTTGCCATTAATTGATTTCTCCATTCTACCTATTGTCTTTACAATTCCTAGCCTGAATTCCATCTCTGACATCTTGGTTATATCTGCATCCATTTGTAAATCTGCGGCGTAAGTCATAATCTGAGTCTTTCCTATTTTGGGGGTTCCTCCTTCTAGTCATTCTGTTGATGGGTGGTTGAGGGAATGTATAGAGTCCAAATTATTGACTGTAACCCAAGCAAGATGCACCTGTTTTCTAGGAACCTTAGGGTTGCTGGCCTCTTGTTTTCTCAGCCTGTTTTCTGAGGGAGGGGCCTGCAGCGCTGTTACTCAGGCAACCCCGTTTGGGCAGAGTTGCCCTGCCCCCTGTGGTGGGGGATGGGCTCAGTGGGAACTGTTTTTTTGGGGGGCTTTTGTTCTCTGGCAGCTTTCCCTGATGGCTTTCTCTGTCTCTTCCGAGAGAGCAGAAGAGACTGTTTCCAACCCTCTCCCCCAGAGCAGAGAGATCGCAGTCTGTTCTTCAGTGAGCTCTCCAGGCCACACTGTCTCTGTTTCTGTCTGTGCTGCTATAAACTGCAGCGTCTTGGGTTGTGCCCCCCTCCGCAGTGCTCCCAGTCCTCACCTCCAGGTTGGGGCATGTTTCTGCCCTTTGTGCTTCTAAGACCACCAGCTGCCCCCAGTTCGCATGTGTGGCCCCGCCGCTCCACTTTTCTTCCAGGGGGCTGCCCTAAAGTCCTTTCCCACCGCTACCGGTCTGCGAGTCTGTGTCCCGTCCCCAGTGCGCGAGGCTGTCGCTCACTACCGGTGTGGGATCCCCACGGCCATGCTCCCTCCCGCTGCCGTTTATCCTCCAATATCTGCCTGTGGAATCACGGCTTCCTGCTTCGTACCTTGAAGCCAACCGCCTGCGATATTCTGTTTGTAGAGATCTGGATTTATCTTCCTACATCTCAGGCTGATTTCATGGGTGTTTAGGGTGGTCTGGTAGATACCCAGTTCAATTCCAGGGACCGTTTGGAATAGGGTCCCCTACTCCTCTGCCATCTTTTCTATCTCCGCAAAAGCAATTAAAATTTTTAAATCAAAGTATCGTTGACTTACAATGTTATATTAGTTTTAGGTGTACAACACAGTGATTAAACAATTCTGTATCTGTGACATTCACTGCAGTAAGTATAGTTACCATCTGTTCATCATGGAAAGGTCTTACACTATTATTAACTATATTGCCTGTGCTGTACTTCTCATAGCTGACTAAAGTACTTTTACAGATGGCAATCACAAAATTGAATAAGCTTCCCAATGAGGTTATTACATGGTTTATTATGGTGATTACTTTGCGTTTTGCCATATCTTCAAATTTTAAAAAATGGTAAAAAAAAAAAAAAGTAGAAAGAATTCCCCTGTCCTTTTATTCCAATTCCCCCAACGCTAACCTCTTACTATCTTTACTCTATCCATATGGATCTCCCTATATATGTTATTTTCTTAACCATTTGAAAGTAAGTTGCTGACTTGATGCTCCTTTACCTAACCTAAGTATTTCAGTGTGAATTTCTTACATAACTACAGTGAAGTTATCAAAATCAGTTAATTCAAATTGATGTAGGGGTGCCTGGGTGGCTCAGTCGTTAGGCGTCTGCCTTCGGCTCAGGTCATGATCCCAGGGTCCTGGGATCGAGCCCCACATCGGGCTCCCTGCTCCGCGGGGAGTCTGCTTCTCCCTCTCCCCGCCCCTGCCCCCCCACTCATGGTCTCTCTCTCTCTCTCTCTCTCTCTCTCTCTCTCTCAAATAAATAAGATCTTTAAAAAAAATTCACCCTGATGTAATTCTGTCATCTAATCCTGGGTAGGTTATCCTCGTGATGTCTTTAATAAGAAAAAATTGAGTGTCATACATTGCATTGAAGTGTCATGTCTCTTTAGTCTCCTTAATCTGACATTACCTCAGGTTTTGTATTTCATGACATCCCTCTTTCAGAAATGTTATTATGACGGGGCATCTGGGTGGCTCATTCGGTTGGGCATCCAACTCTTAATTTTGGCTCAAGTCATGATCTTGGGGTTGTGGAATCAAGCCCCGCATAGGACTCTGTACTCAGCGTGGAGTCTGCTTCTTCCTTTCCCTCTGCTCCTCCTGCTTGCTCATATTCTCTTTCTTTCTCTCTCAAATAAATAAAACGTTATTATGAAATAATTTTGAACTTAGAGAAAGGTTGCAGAAATGGTACAAAACTCCCACATTCCCTTCTTTCAGCTGCACCTGAAGTTAACGTCTTACATAATCATCACAAAACCATGAAATTAACATTGATAAAATACTATTAATTTATCTATTGACCTTATTCTAATTTGGCCAGTTTCCCCACTCCTATATTTTTGTTCCAGGATCCAATCCACATTGCATTTAATTGGCATGTCTCCCAAGTCTATTCTAATTGATGACAGTGCCTTAGATCTTTGTCTTTCAGGACCTTGACCCTTTTTGGAGTCTAGGCCAGTTATTTTATAGGAGGACCTTCAACATTGGTAGGTCTGATGTTTTCTCATGATTAGATTGAGGGTATTCATTTTGGAAATGAATACCACAGAAGTCTTGTGCCCTCCCAAGTACACCATATCTGTCAGGTAGTACGTGATGTCAACTGGGAATGATTACTTTGATACGTGGCTGAGGGGATGTCTGACAGGTTTCTCCATTGTGAAGTTGTTATTTCAGTCCCTGTAATTAACAAGTATCTTGAGAGGAATTACTCTTAATTGCTTGTTTTGCTCACACTGTCCCTGGTTTTGCTACTGGGAGCACCCTCTATTTGGTTTCTGTGTGTTTTAGACATACCCCATTATTTTATGAGTACTTCCTTACTTTCTAAGCACCATGAGATGATACAGGCACACTTTGTACTTTCCCTGAGCTAGCCCTGGAGTCTCTATTTCTCCATGGCATCCTGGGGTTTGTTTTGTTTCCCTCCTTCCCTCCCTCCCTCCCTCCATCCCTCCTCCCTTCCTTCCTTCCTTTCCCTCCCTGCCCTCCCTTCCCTTCCCTTCTGTTCCGTTCTGTTCCATTCCTTCATTCCTTCGTTCCTTCGTTCCTCGAGACTGGTACTTAGAAACCAAGGGGTGGGGCTGAGTGTGCTGATTACTGCTTGGATGTTTTTGTTTCTAGGCACTATTAGGGGACAGATGGGATATCCTATCCTAAATTATATCCTAATGTATACATTCATATGCATATCTCTTTTTTTGAGATTTGATGTCTGATTTTTTTTAAAAGATTTTATTTATTTATTTGTCAGAGAGAGAGAGAGAGTGGCAGACAGAAGGAGAGGGAGAAGCAGACTCCATGCTGAGCAGGGAGCCTGATGTAGGACTTGATCGCAGGACCCTGGGATCATGACCTGAGCTGAAGTCAGATGCTTAATCATCTGAGCCACTGAGGTGCCCCTTGATGTCTGATCTTATTTGTTACTCTTAGAAAATCTCATTTTTGATAGGACTTAGAGGTAGAAGCTCTCAAGAGGAAAGCCTCTGTCTCTTGGCAGTCTGTTCCTGGTGTTTTTCTTTGGCCTCTTTCATTCTCTTGGCCAAAAGTTTTGCATATTCTGCAGCCTCTTTCTTTTTTTCTTAGTATGCTGTATCTTCAGAGCCACACATCAGTGTTTGTGTTGCAGGACACATGGAGTAACAAGACAATGAATCTTGGGCGCTTTGATTCTAGGTTTCTTACCTTCTTTGTTTAGGGGCTTTCTCAACATACTGGTGAACATCCTCTTTCGAGAGATTGAAAAGTTTGCAGATTCTGCCAGCTCTTTGAGGCCTCAGGCAATGAGGCCTGGTAATGTCAGTGAGTCCAGGAGTATCTCTTTTTTCTAGTGACTAAGTTGAGAACACCCAGATTGACATCCACAGCGCAACACTGAACAGATTTGTACTTTCTCCAGTCCTCCTTGGTCTTTAACAGGAATGCCCCTTACTGAAATAGCCAGTGGATACGGCCATGGGTCAAGACACCCTGCTTCATGAACAAGGCTTGTTTGTCATTCCCAACACAGATTTGGACCACATAACCCTTCTGTTCTTTACCCAGAGCCTTAGCAGCCACTTCTGTGACTATATACTTTTCATAAAAGGTATGAAGTTTGCGTTCATCATCCACCTCAATGAGATTCTGGTAGCCAGTAGCTGGGAAAGAGATGTTCAGCTTCATCCTGAAGCAGCCAGCCACCCATACATCTGTTTTTATATCTTGATTACATTGATTAAGACCAGTGCATTCACAGATAACTCCAATTGCAGTACATCACCACAGAGTTCCTTCCATATTTCTACTTTTCTATATTTAAAATTCTGTTCTGTGATAGGAGGAAACCTGACTCCCAGTAACCACAATATATTACTTATTTGCTTAGCCACAGCATTGCTTATTTGCATGGAGTATCAGGTTTGCTAACACACAGCTTATCTGGGGAGTACGGGAGCCCTCTCTTTGTGTTTAGCTGAGGATATACAGGCCAAATACAGAGTTCACATCATCTTAGATAGCTGACTATCATTGTGATGGATTGGTCTTCCTGCCCAAGAAAAAGGGGTATCTTTCTGTTTGTTTAAATCTACTTTGTGTATTTCAGGCATATTTGAAAGATTGTCATATAGGTTTTGTCATACAGTTTCTGTTAAACTTCTAAGTATTTTATCTTTGTTGACCCAGGAACTAGGGGTTTTCCCTACTATTATGTCCTTTTTTTATTGTTTGAGTTTACCTTGGATATTTATTTTTCTGTATTAAATGTTCATGTTGCTACTTCACTGGGATCTTTTTTTGTTTGGTTTTGTTTTGTTTTGTTTTCATTAGTTCTCATTGTCCTATTCAATTCCATTTCACTGGTGAGAAGTGATGTCAGGTGGCCCTTCCCCGTGCTTATTAATTATGCTGAGAAGTCTTTTGAACACAAAGTTTTTGTGGAATGAGGAACTTATAAACTAGTGATGCGAGAAGCTGCAAAGTAGACCTGGGCTCTCTCCCCAGCTGGCATCTCAGGATTCTGCCCTTTTCAGGGAGAAACATTTAGACAAAGAGGAATGGCTGCTTCAGCCCTGACAGAGCATCAAGGTAATACATGTAAAGCACCCAGAACAGTAAGTGTTGTTACGATCATCATTACCAGGGACCATTTGGAGGAGTGGATGTTGGAGACATTGCAACAGAATCTCTCACGCCTTTAAGAACCAGTAATGCTCATATAAAGGTATGACTGGACACACTGCTCTGTTTTGATGTTTTACGGAGGGAATGGATAAGTTTAGGCTTCTTTTTTGTTGTTGGTTGGTTGGTTTGTTTTGTTCCCTTCTTTTGTCCTCAGCTCTGCATCCACAGGACTCTGCTCTTCAAGAGAGGGGCTCCGCGAAGGGGAGGATGACCACTGGGCTTCTAGAAGCACATCACTGGTGAGTTAGGGTTTCATTTTTTCTTTCCTGCAATGAGACCATTGCCAGTATGTGTGAACTACAGTCCAACTGACTTGACCTCCGGCTTTGTCGATAGGACTGAAACACAGCTGCGCACCATGGTAGAGTTAGCAAAGATGCTAGGAAATGAGAAGAATAAAGTCATTAGTGAAATGGAGAGCCTCATGAACAGTGCAGATTTTTAAGTGCCCCAAACTTTAATTCCATGTCCAAGGGCAAATTTAAAAAGAAGTGAGATTTTTCTCTTTTTCCTTACTAGTTGGAGAACAGCTTCCATTTCACACATACAGATTTAGGGAAGTCCGTTTCCCAGTATTCTAGAAACTTGTGAAATACACTTACAGAAGGAGAAATCCATACTCCTGCAACAGTTTTAACATTTTGGTGGAAAATATAGTATATTTATTTCTGTCCAAAGAGCTGGTTTTCACTATCTAGACATACGTACATACACTTGTCCAAAAAGGGTCTGGATCCTGTACTACAGGCCACAACACCCATACCATGCATGCTTTCTTTCAACCAAGACTTCGCCCATCTCCCCAAGGCCTTGGGGGTAAAAAAGCGTTTGCCATTTCAGTGATCAGGAACATTCCAAGATGTGGCCATCGACTTCTCCCAAGAAGAATGGGGATTCCTGAACCCTGCTCAGAGAAGACGGTCCACAGCTGTGATGTCGGAAAATTATCAGAACCTGGCCCGGCTAGGTAAGCGCATCGAGCCCTGAGTTCCGCATCTGTTCTCTGGTGTGTCTTCCTCCTTCTGGTGGAATTCTCTGGGCAACTGCTGTGGCCTTTGCTTTATTATTTTTGTTCCATGTCCCATGAAGAGCAGTTAGAAGTGGGCAACTCTCTCATTCTCATCCTTCAGAAAACCTTTAAACTTTGCTCGGCCATATTCATAAGGGCTTTTCTTCCTGATTGCTCTGGTCGCGGGGCTCAGTTCTTGGGTGATAATGGCATGGCCGCTTGCTGTCTCTTTTTCTTTGCTCAGGCACTTCTGTCTCCAAGCCTGATGTAGCTTTCCTGCTGGAGCAAGGGAGACAGCTCTGGGGGATGAGAAGCGGGGACGCAAGACCTCCATGAGCAGATGCGTCAGGGACCAAGCAGAGGGGAGGTGACACGTACACAAGACCAGCTGCTCCGACAGCAGCTTTGGGGTGTTTGGACACCGCCCTTCAGAGGGCCCTTGAGTTCAGCTCCATAGTGGGTCTGGCTTTCATCCTCCTTGATCCCCCTGTGCTCCTCTATCTTCTAGAATAATTCCTTCCAGCCTCCAGATGAAGTGTGTTTCCCCTCCCTCCCTCAATTTATGATCAGCTTCCTACCTTTACTTTCCAGGTGGTTTTTCACCAGCTCACCTTCCTTCTTTCTTTCATTCATTCCTACAGCTGTTCTTTCAAAAACATTCCTCAATGCTTCTGTTTTCATTATCCAAAAAATACTCATGCTGTCCTCTGAGTAATTGAGATTGATTGATTGATTCATTGATTCAACAGAGACACAGCGAGAGAGGGAACACAAGCAGGGGGAGTGGGAGAGGGAGAAGCAGGCTTCCTGCTGAGCAGGGAGCCCAATTCGGGGCTCGATCCCAGGACCTGGGACCATGACCTGAGCCGAAGGCAGACGCTTAACGACTGAGCCACCCAGGCGCCCCTACTCTGAGTAATTGAATAAATGTATCTATCCAAGAGCTATTCCATGAACAAACATATTTGATCTTTAATTCTGGCCACAAGTGGGGGTTTTATTAGAGAGGATAGCCCAATCAAGGAATTTACTGTTTAATAAAGGGAATTACGAGATGTTCTTAAACACCTTGGCAAAGTAGGAACCAAGGTTACAGAATGTTAAACAGGGTGATGACTGTATAGGCTTTGGTGGGGCCAAGGGTTTGCTCATCAGTGGTAGATGGTCTGGAGGTCTGGCCACTTAACATGTGCTGCTTGCCTGTACCCTCTAGACCTGTTCTCGCCCAATCCTGGATGCACCTCTAACATCTCATGAGAGATTGCTCCTGGTCTCCCCACCTGAGAGCTGGTGGTGTGGACACTACCCAGTTCATCTTGGCAGCCTTGGCCACATACACATAAGCATTTGATGTCTGCCTTAGTCTGTTTGAGCTGCTGTAGTAGAAATGCCACAGATTAGGTGGCTTAAACTACAAGCATTTACTTCTCTCTCTTTTTTCAAAGATTTATTTATTTGAGAGAGAGTGCGTGCAGTTGCGCAGTGGGGAGGGGCAGTGGGAGAGGGAGAGAGAATCTTTTTTTTTTTTTTTTTTAAAGATTTTGTTTATTTATTTGACAGAGAGAGGGAGAGGGAGAAGCAGGCTTCCCGCTGAGCAGGGAGCCTGATGTGGGGCTCGATCCCAGGACCATGGGGTCATGACCTGAGCTGAAGGCAGACATTTAACGAATGAGCCACCCAGGCGCCCCGGGAGGGAGAGAATCTTAAGTAGACTCTCTACTAAGCCGGAGCCCAATGCGGGGCTCGATTTCATGACCTGAGATCACGACCTGAGCCAAAACCAAGATTCTGATGCTTAACTGACTGTGCCACCCAGGCGCCTCAACAAGCATTTACTTCTCATGTTTCTGGAGGCTGGGACGTGCAAGGCACTGGTAGATTCATTGTCTGGTGAGGACCCACCTCCTAGTTCAGACATCCATCTTCTGACTGTGTCCTCACGTGAAGGAAAAAGAGAGGGGATTCTCTGGGGTCTCTTACAAGGGCACTAATCTCATTTATGAGGGATCCGCCCTGATGACCTGATCACCTCCAAAAGGCCCACCTCCAAATACTGTCCCCCATTGAGAGGATTTCAACGTAAGAATTTGTGAGGGAGGGGCGCCTGGGTGGCTGAGTCAGTTAAGTGTCTGCCCTTGCCTCAGGTCATGATCCCAGGATCCTGGGATCTATGCCTGAGTCAGACTCCCTGCTCAGCGGGGAGCCTGCCTTTCCCTGTCCATCTGCACAGGAACCCTAAAATCTTCCCTGTGCGCCAGATCCCTGAGTCTTCATAGTGTTTGTCTCCCACCTTCTGGAGCACATGTGTCTTAGCAGGTCATCTGGACTGCTTGCCTCTTTGTGTTGTTCAGTTCTCATGAACATGATGTCATCAACAGTGGACCAATGCAATGTTCTACAGAATGATCAGATAGTCCAGAGTCTTCAGATTATGCTGTGATAGAGAGCAGGAGAATTGACCTCATTGCCGGGCCAAGACCCTTGGATCAGTCTTCTTGGGCTGCCACAATAAAGCTCCCTAGACTAGATGGTATCAGTACTGAGATCAAGGTGTCAGCAGGGCTGGATTCCCCTGAGGCCTCTCTTGGTTTGTAGATGGCCATCACCTTCTTGTGTCTTCCCGTGCTCTTCCCTCTATGTGTGTCAGTGTCGTAATCTCTTCCTAAAAGAATACCAGTCATACTGGATTAGGGCCCATCCTACTGACTTGATTTTATCTCTTTTAAAGGTCCTATCTCAGGCGCCTGGGTGGCTCAGTTGGTTAAGCATCTGCCTTTGGCTCAGGTCATGATCCCAGGGTCCCTGGATCAAGTCCTGCGTCGAGCTCCTTGCTCAGCGGGGAGTCTGCTTCTCCCTTTCCCTCTGCCCCTCCCCCTGCTCCTGCTCTCTCTCTCTCACTCTATCAATTAAATAAATAAAAAACCTTAAAAAAAAGTCCTATCTCCAAATATTTGCCCATCTCTGAAATTTTCTATCACTCATTATCCATACCAATTGGATATGTACTTTCTTGTGGCATCAGTGTCTCATTGTTGAAATGATTGGATTGGGTGAGTGATGGCTAGTTAAAACATGCAGTAATAAAAATCTTCTAAACTTATAAAAATAAGATGGGTTTATTTTATTAAGTATTCAGTGACATGCTCTGAAGGGAAAGAATTCATTATCTCCTTGCACGTGTTTTCTTTTTTCTTTTTTTTTTCATTTTAATATTTTATTTCATGTTCATAAGTTTTATTGTTTTTATTAAGGAGGATTTCCTAAATATATAATCTCCTGGCCCCTCTTAGTCTGGATCTGCCCCTTACAGAATTTATAGTATTCAGGCAGGCTTCCAAGCCTTCACTTATGCTGTTTCTTTTAATTTTTTTATTGTTATGTTAATCACCATACATTACATCATTAGTTTGTGATGTAGTGTTCCATGAAACATTGTTTGGGCATAACACCCAGTGCTCCACGCAGAATGTGCCCTCTTTAATACCCATCACCAGGCTAACCCATCCCCCCACCCCCTCCCCTCTAGAACCCTCAGTTTGTTTTTCAGAGTCCATCGTCTCTCATGGTTTGTCTCCCCCTCCGATTTACCCCCCTTCATTCTTCCCCTCCTGCTATCTTCTTCTTCTTTTTTTTTTTAACATATATTGCATTATTTGTTTCAGAAGTACCGATCTGTGATTC